ATCATAGTTGGATGTCACTCTCCCCCTTGATATTGTAAATGTGGTTAAGTGTTGTTGTAAAACACAAGGGACAAGGATCCGTCTGAAGACCCAGCCTATGAATTTGGACATAGCTATAGACAAGCAACTGAAGTGTGTAAGCGAACCCACTAATTTTACAAGACTGATAAAATTCTCAATAGCAGAAAAGGTATGCACATTAATTTTATTACCTGTACCTCGTTTGACTGCTGATGGTGTTTTAGTCACTCCATTTATGGATTGGCTTTCCACAATTTCCTTGCAAGAATTAATTATACTGGTGAGGTCATCGTTGGCCTGCAAGATGTCACCTGGTTTAGATGAGAGTGGAGAGATTGGCGTGAACTTTATGTCACTGTTAAATCCCAACACACACACAAAAATAATTATGAACACTAGAAAGTGAACATTGCAGTTGAGATCCGCCACCGCGATTTTGCGCACTTAGAATATCAGGCTAGGCTCAATTCCATGTCAAGGGAACAGACGTTGTGGCTCCGACAGCTCCCATTGGCTGCATTTGCCACGAGACATCGAAAAAACGTGTCGCAGGTGGGCCGCCAGCGAGACCCTTAACTCTGTGTCACTGCGAAAATGTTTTGTGTTGCACTGTACGTTCTGTTCGGAATTTTGGGAAACTGTCTTTTATTTTTGTTCTTTGTTTTGAAATGTCTTTCGGTCTTGGTTTTTAAAATGCTTTTAAATATGAATCACATATAGCACATTGACTGTACCCGTGTGCGATGGAAACACAACTGCACTGTAAAACAAAGACCCCCCTCGAATAAGGTAGGATGTGGTTGCCTTGGCTTCCACAAAACCTACGGGCAAGCAAAAGCACAGCATCACGCTCAGCTTAAAAGACTTCTCACCCAAGTTGGCGTCGTTATCATCAGTCTCTGTAGCGAGCTGACACACTGTTTGTCTCAGCTTGTCACAGTCGGAGCACAACTCCTGTAAAATGTAAAGTTGCTAGTAACGAGGTTGAATTTCGAATAATGGTTTCAAAGTTTGTCAAAGATTTTCATGACCGGCTGTTAAAACGTGTGTGGATAACAAACCCCGATGAGCTCTCTGTCAGCATCCGTGGAGTCTTCAAGGCTGAAGTAAGCCAGCATCTCATTAAGGAGGTTGACACTGTTATTGGCCGCCTCCAGTGTGCTTTTCTGCTTCGCCATTTTCTGTGTTCTCACTTCATCCTGCAACCAGTGAGAAGTTACACGGGACTCATTAAAACTACCATCACCGTTTGACTCCCCGATCGGCTCGATTTTGAGGGTGACTGATTTACCTCCTTGACCATGTTCTTGATGAGCCGATTGGCTGCCTGCAGATCTGACGGCTTTTTGCTCTTGAGCAGCTCTGCCAACTGCTGCAATGGTGAAAAAAAAAATTTTTAAGCACTTTCTGGGAACTGTCCACGCACGCACGC